AGGGAAAGAAAATTTAGGTTTTGTCATACATGATCCATTGTATTTGGTAGTGTTTACCTTTGTATCACTGAAGCTTTGAACTGTTTGAAGTGCTATGTTATGCATTATGAAGCTTATGCAATCTCGGCAAATGTTTTCAATTTCTTTTTTGGTATATTTCTATTCTTTACCCCAATTTATACATTATTGTAAGTTGTTTGAAGTGCTTCCATTTGGCAAGCAAAGCCATGAATCAGAGTGAAAGGTTTTGGATTTTGTTGTTGGCAGGATAACCAGCGGGACATGGTAAAGTAATGTTACAGATAAGACTCTTGGTGGTGTCATAAAAACTCACAGAAATATTCGTGATTAACAGATGAACATATTCCTAAATTCCAAATTTTTTATTCACTTAAATGAAAAGGAACAAAAAAAATAAATTCAAATTCAATTTTGTTATGTGTTTTTAATAGTAAACATTTTAGAACAGATGCAATAAAAAGTCCATTGACAAATGAAAAATGCAAATTGAGCTGATTTTTAGCTTTTGGTTAATGGTAATTGAGCTAATTAAAGTTGGGTAAATCTAAAATTGTTTGCCTAAAACCGATTATATGCCATAGATAGGCCATGTCAACCTTTCAATTACAACTCAAGATTTTCAAAAATATTAGTTATTATAATATTACTATTGATTGAATTTGTGTTGCTAGATTGTTTGCACCACTAGATATATTAAACAATACATACTCCAAAGACAACCAAAATAAAACGTGTGGACCAAAAATTCTTTTTTGGGGGAGAAAAAGAATACAGTTCATACCCTAAACTGACTAAATACTGCTTCTATACTTAGAAGTAGCTGTGCCAATTTAATTACACCGACTTGGAATATGATTTTTGAGATTGTGACGTGACATACACCCATGTGTATTGTCATAAGGGACAGAGCATTGTGTACTATACACTCATTTGTTAATTGTTAGGACAATAGAATTTGTCGGTGGAATTTTCTTCGACTTATTATTTCTTACATGCTTCTAAATTACTTTTCTATCATAAAATGAAGAAAATTCATTTTATTTCGAGCAAGTCAATTTTAACCAAAAAAAAAAAAGAAAGAACTGTGTACGTATTATTATATTTCACACGAAATAGCATATCGACAAGTTTCAAATTTTGATTAGCTAAATTATTATAAGCGTCTCAAAATATATTGCAAATTCTTAAAATAGACCATAGCTTTAATTCAACATTTTTAAACATTTGGACATTGTTGGGGACTTAAAAAAATTGAATATAAAACATCGCGTAGCATAAAAAATTGGCAAGAAAAAATAAATTTCTTCCATCGACTGCTTGTCATATAGTGTTGAAATAAAACAAAAATGAAGGAAACTTGTTAATGGTTTAGTTTGGTGCATTCTTCAAAATTCCAATAGTGGTACTACAGGATGTGGACCATAACAAATCCAATCTCAGGCCCAAAACTTAAACCTTCTAAGACAAAATTTAATTTCCACCAAATCAATGTATTTTAAGAGAATAACCAGCACCCACTAGAACTACAAAAAAATAACATCATAGAATCACAAAGGTCTCCCTTTTTCATAAACAAAAATAAAGCCTATATCTCCAACTGAACATATAAAAATCAATTCACATCAAAATCTGCTACAAATCATCAGCTGCCAACTTAAATATACCATTTCACAATGAAATGGATGATATAAGGTGAAATATAAATTTTTCTTACTTTTTTGTGGTAGCTGCAATTGTATTTAAAATCAATCTTTCCACATATCTGCAAACTCATCAGGCTCCAGAGGATTAGACATCTCATGCATTTTCCTCCTTGTCTTGGCTTTGACCTTCTTTGCAAACTTTCCAACTTTCTTCTTTTTCTCCAAAGCTCGAATCTACAAGAACCAGCAACCGATGACAATATAGTTATTATCACTATAAAGCATGGGAAATTATAAGTATAGATGAAAAATACATTAGTCAGTACCTGATTTGGTGACACGTAGAACGGATTCTCATATAAAGTAGGGCCTCCAAAACTGCCACCAAATATTTTAATTGGGTTCAAGCAGAACCGTGGACCGACCTAAACAAGTAGTTTCAACAGGTTAAATGGATATTAGAAATTGACATATCAAAATATAAATATAAATATATAACAAATAACAAATTTTCAGACCTCAATCAATGTCATTTTATCAAGGCCTCCTCTAGGCAATTTGTCTGTCTCATTATGATGAACAGAGATCTGCAAGGGATAAAAGATGTATGTGACATTGCTAGGCATCAGCAGCAAGCAGATTATGAGACAATACTATGGCACGGAAAAGTCAGGTTCACATGTTACCAATGGGTTAACATTTATGTACTTGCAGAAATCACATCGATATCTCATTGAATTTATAAAGAAACCCTCACTATAATATGAAATAACTAAACTTAAATTCATTAGCTTAATATTAAGTGATCAAATGCATTTGCAGGTAGGCAGCAGCAACCTGGAACATAAGACATGCATACTTATATCAAGTATGCATTTTAGAGTAAACATCCAGTGTTTATTTAACCTCTGTTTCCCCCACGTGGTTGGATACATTCCCAACTCTAACCTACCCAACCTCAGTTTAACATCTGTGCATAAGAGCCGAGGATTGACAAGTTACAGATAGGAGTCTTTTGAACAACTCTAAGAATAACAATTGTCCACTAATGACTATTTCACAAGTATAATACAAATGACCCAATATGCTGGTTTAGTGTCCTACAACAAATGAGTAAAACATCTATTGCAGGCTCGCACAACAACCAAACCAAAATCAAAACTTGATTCAATAATCACTGATTTGGTAAGAGAGACCATAATTAAACGAATAAAGTGGATCAGTAACATGACTCATTAAACATTACATGCTTTCCATATTACTATAAGGATTCATTTTTTATCTATTGCTACCTCAGGGAGTTTTGCACTATCAGTAATCCATATAGAACCAGTTACTCGAAACAGAAAATCAGTTGAAAGCTTACCCTGTAAGCTGAGTAAATAATACCAAAGTGGAACATCATAACTCATTTAAAAATAAAATGTTTTACATTGGTAGTAGTTCAAATTTAAACTCTTATCATAATGGACCATTATCCTCTGTCTTCAAAGTTGTGTTTTTCATACTGAAGTCTAGAGAATAGAAACTCTGATTGATTCCATAAAATTGAAAGTAGAGAATAGAAACTCTGATTGATTTCACATAATAAGGAAAAGTTTAAATTTTTCAACTCAAAATTAATGCAATAGGTAGAGGACATTCTTTACATCTTGTGCAAATACAAACACAAACCTGGTAATTCCGGAACCAAATGTGGTCATCAACTATTGAGAAAACAAAAACGTGATCATGGAAAGGCTTAGCCTTTCTGTGGTCCTTTGGTGTTTCAAATATCTGAATAAAAGAAAGAAATAGTATATCAGCAATAATCAAGTACATAACTCGGACAAGAGTATCAGAAATACATATAAATGTGCACTGGAACATATGCACGGAACAGATCACCTCATCCTACTCAATTTAAACTACGTAAATAGATGGACATAACAATAAAGATTAATAGAATTTTCTCTGATCAGTAACAACAAATTAAAAAGTAGTCTTTGGCAGGTATATGATAACCACAGTATAACATCCCAAATACATCGGGAAAGAGCGCATGAAACAATTTTTAATTAGGCTAGCAATTCATAGCGTACAACACCATATAGCAACAAACTAAGATGAAATTATCAAAGTAACCTATACTTTATATGAAAATGAACAGAGTGTAATCAACATGAGGTTTAGAGATTTACTAAATTATTTTTATCATATGAAACTAGATGGAAAAAAAGAAATACTACTTGCAAGTAAATAAACCAACCACATACCTGTAACAACATCTCCTTTAACAGTTTCCAATGTGCATCTTTTTCAAAATTTTCTGAAAATGTCAAAATAGGACGAGAACCACTTAAATGATTGCCCGTGAGCTTCAATTCCTCCATTGTGTGAACTGGAAAGTATTGGAGGGAAAGGAGAAATCAGTAAAAGTATGTATAACAGAAATAGTTGAGAGAGAGAAACACAAAAAAATCATAATCTAACAGTGAGAATGAGTAACGTCTAGAGTATACATTGCAGAGATCAAAACTCTACATCATCAAAGCAAGCAGATTAGTATTGCATTAACTTTAAGACAATAAACAGATGAGAATATTACCAGCACTAACTAAAAATTTTACAGATGGGCCATTGGGGCATTTTGCCATCCAGAGATAAAGATCTTTTGACTTCCGGCACTGAAATTCATATATAGAAAAGGCAAGGAGAAGACTGATCAGAATATAACAAGTTGACCAGACTGAACTCAAAGTCATGACCAGGTATTAGTGATAAATATTACTATATGGAAAAACAAAAATGGGAACAGGGCAGGACGGACATATTATGCTTTAAAGTAGATAGAACACAAATCTTTAAAATAAAATAAAAAAAACAATCACATTTAATCCTATCAGTAAAAGGAAGTTAGTTATCATACCGAGATGAAACTGAAAGTAGCCAACAATATCATATCACACAGAAATAACATCACAAACATTTGTGACCAAAAAAATAATTCCTTAAACTATAAGCATGCTTTAAAATTTCTAGTCCAACAATAGCATAAACATAGTGCATATACAAATCTAGCGAACAACAGCATCACACATCAAACCCAATTTAAAGTAAAGGACGACACTGAAAAACCTTGCGACATATATACGCGAAATACCTCAAAAAATAAACAAGAGGAACAATTTTTGAGCTCAACGAGCTCGTTGAGGGTGGCGCCTTTAGTTTCCTTTGATTCAACCTTGTTATCCTTCTTGCAATGAGGCAAAAGTGACACCAAGTTCAACATCAAATGCCGGTACCTATAATTTGACGAAGAAAAAAAAATTCCACTCCATGAATATCATATACAAAAACTAACCCACAAGACAAATAAAATTTCTCTGTTCTAAAAATTTACATATCAAGACGGCATTTTTCTTATATTTCTTTTTTATCTAACAAAACAAACACAAAATCTGTAACTACAAGATATTAAGTATGTATTTGGTTGTACCTGTAATTGATGCGCCTAGAGCAAGTGACCAACACCTTCTCTTTGTTCCTAAAGAAAGGTGAATCAACATTATCCTCAACTTCATTATTGACTTGATTCTTATCCTTCCACCCCAGAAGGGTCCTAGCAGGTCTCTCTGGAGCAACTTCTTCCTTTTTGGGCTGCGCCACACCTTCACCTCTCTCACTGTGCTTTCTCTTCTTCCCCATTCTTTTTTTCTTCAATATCTGCCATACCCAACAGCCAAAATCACGAAAAAATAAAAACTTGGCACTGACCCATTTATTAATTGTTTCAGAGAATGAACTTACCTGCAGAGGAAAGAGATGAGGCTCGAACTTCGCCGGCGGTGCCACGAATGAATGAGTTGCGGCAATGGCGGCAAAGGGTTTTTTCTACTTCCTAGAAGGACTGTGGTTTAGTTGGGCCATTTATAACCCAGTTTTGGCCCTATTCAGATGGACTCATCAAAAACCCAGCTGTTTGGTTTTAACGGGCTGTGGGCCCAAGCGTTTCGATTTCGTAGGCTTCTTTGGAGAACTGGGCCTCCTCGTTTAGTGACAATACACTATAAATCAATTACACAAAGCATAATATGTATGATTTTTATGTAGTTTTCTACACTATTGGTGCATAAATTGTTTTCTCTGTTGAAAAATTACATGTACAACAATTTAATTTCATTAACCGAAGTGTTAACTTCCTCTATCAAGTACGGATTATATAATTAATACTAATATTGGATTAAAAAAGTATTAGTAAAATTGTAAAATAAAAAATGGCATTCTATAAATTTTAGCGATAAACATTGTCAATTAAAAGTCTTTATATTATTTAGGGGTGTCAAATGGATTGGGCCGACATAGCCCATATAAACTACTATTTATAAAGGGATGAGTTCAATCTGTCATGATATTTTGTGGTTTACTTATTCTGTGACTTGACGACTTAATTTGTTAGGCCAAACAAATTAACCAAATTTATTTTATTTTATTATTTTTATTTAAGTTTTTTTAGAAAAATAAAAAAAATACCAAAAATAGGTTTGATAAATTTTGAACCTATAAATTATTGAGTTAATCACCTATACACTGTCAGTGTAAAGTTTTTTTACACTGGCAACCAATTATATCTTTTAATTATGTCATGTCACTATAAACACATTTACTTTTAAGAGTGACATGATATAATTAAAAGATATAATTGGTTGTCAATATAAAAAAAATTTACACTGACAGTATATAAGTGATTAACTCTAAATTATTATTAACCTAATTCATTTTCACTACAACAAAATAGATTTTTAGTGGCATTTAATACGACTTTTAGTCGCAATAAAAATTGCTACAAAGTCTTTTAACGGCATTTTCACATTAGTCATTGTATGCAGTGTCGCTAAAACATTTAGCGGCAATTATTTTAAATGCTGGTAAAAACCTTATAATGGTCGAAAAAAGTGTATAACTTTTTGTAATATTTTTTACTTTCTAGTCGATGTGGGACTTGTAAGATGAGTACAAATACTCTTTAATTATTTTATCTCTAGTTGATGTGAGACTTGTAAGATGAAGATTTTCTTTTCTTATTTTTTTAATTACCTTATTTCTAGTTGATGTGGAACTTATAAGATAAAGATTGTCTTCTACTTATATATATATATATATATTATATTTTTTTATATTTTTAATTATCTTATCAATAGTAGGTCTCATATCAAGTTTAGGAAACTATTGAGTTTGATAATGGTGAGTAATCTCATACCAACTTAGGATAGTAAGTTATAGGTTTAACTTAACCCTACAAAACACACTTGTAAGGTGAGAGTTATCATCTATTTATATACTCATTAATTATCTTATTTCTAGTCAATGTGGGACTAAAGTTTTTCTTAATATAATTGTTGCTAATAGTAAATTTTGATGTGATATAAATACATTTTTAGTGACCATTATATATTAGTCATTAATACTTTTATTAAATAATAAAATAAAAACAATTAATTTATTACCGTTAAATAATTGTCGGTAAAAATAAATTTTGTTGTAGTGTTTCGAGCCATTATTTTTGGAATCTTGTTTGTCCTATCAATCGTCGAACTAGTCCATTATATCAATTCATTCCTTACACCTTTGATACTATTAACCAATATAAAATTTTCTTTAGTATGACTTTTAATATAATTATTATATAATTTAACAAACTTATTATAATGGTATATGATTGAATAATAGAATAAAAATGTTTTATATTGTCAAAGAATATTATTTATTCTAAATTATATAGTTTTTTTTCATGCCATGGGAAAAATAATATATTCAACTGAAAAAAAAGAAGAAAAAAACGCATTCGAGCATACTTTTATACTTCTTGGCGCATAGTTATCAATTTGTGTAATTAAGTTGGATGTGAGGGTAATGTCAAAGGCGTAAGGATCAAACCCGGAATAGATAAATTATCTATTGTGAATAAATAAGAAATAATGAATGACTTAAGGGCTTACTTTGAAATATGATCATGGGAATTAGTGAATTACACTTACATTTGTATGTGTTGCTTTTAAAAGTAAAACAACCTCCTTTGTCGACTCGTTTTTCATTGTGCATCATTTTCCTCCATATACATATATGGTGGACACGTACCATATTTCATCAATTATTGGGACACTTTTGTCACTGATTTTATGCTACTTTATTGCTAGAATAGAAACTATATTCTATACAAGAGTTTGTGGACATATATTTGCATGCAGCCGGAATTAGTTTCTTAGATTGTGTGATCTTAAAGCAAAAGCAACATATTTGGCCACGATTCACTGTGCTTTGGGGCCACACACATGTTTGCTTTACAAGGTTGAAGCAACTCTTTCATCTAGATAAAGAACCCTTTTCCTTTTAAAGCTATATATTATATATATGTAGTTAGTTTATTTTGAGTAACATAAATGATATAATAATTTTATATAGAATGAAATACAAGCCTACAATGAAAACGCAAAAAAATCTGGTTATACGTTAGATATTACTCGGTGTTGTTTTCGACTTTAGAATCAATTTCGCGGGTGCAAGTACCTGTCTGCGTGAAGTTTGAGAGACATGCAGACCATAACAAAGGGTATCAATCCTTGTACATATGTAACAATAACCTCCACGAGTACTACTTGAATTGTATCTCAAGCCCTTCATAAAATAGAAAAAGTGCAGCCACTTTTGAGGACCACTATGCGACTGAGTAGTAAAAGTATTTGAACTAAGAAACTTATGAAGACAACTTTATTGATGTATGACACAAGTTTATTTCTCTTGGTTTTTTAATAGGATGATCCTAACTAGTATCCTAGTAGGATTACTACTTAAGATGATCCTATTAAAAAAAAGTATGAAGTGTAAATCGATGATACTATAATTAAATACTTGTTTACACGACCTTGTGCATGCTTTCCACAAATTGCCGATGCTAGTAGATGTATTAGTGATTTTAGCTGGTGCTGATTTGTCGTAATTCATTGGAAGATGAGTATACTTTACATTAAAATAGTAACCATACAACTTAGTAAATGAAAATACTCATCACTAACTTCTTCTGGCATAGTAGAGAAATAATATTCGAATCTGTAACCCCTTTGCTCTAATATATATCATTGCTTTGGAGTCATGGAATGTTGAAAAGAATGGTGACTGCTATCACGCTCGTAATGTGTAGCAAATAACATAGCAGATATTGATTATGCAAATATTCATGGACCACATGCGTCAACGGTTTGATTCAAAATTTCTGATCACCACATTGGAATATAGCAACCTCATGCAAAAAGTGCATGGGAACTTTGTTATAGCAATTTCAATTTACTGTACGAAATATACTACTTGGGAAGAGGACAAAACATTACCTTTTTACTGCGCTGAGGGTCATATTGATTCCTCTCCATCACATCTTATTGAAAGAAAATCTTATATTACATATCCGAATATTTCATCTGAGATGGAAATTGAAGCATTAGCATGATATTTCTTCAACTATTGATTTATTCTTCAATATCTTCTCCTTTTGCCGGTCCAAATTTTATCTGTAGAATAAAATAATCAAGAGCCAGGTTAAAGCTGAAGTTTTAAAAGTAAGTTCATGCATTTTGTATATGGTAATTGATTAATCCATCAACTATTGTGCATAGCTTTTCCAAAAGTACTTTGGCATGTATTGTCAGAAGACAATCATCATTTAACCTCTCTTTTCTTCTTTTAGAATATGTTATAAAAGCATATTTGACTTGTCTAAAATAACCAAGTGCGTGTTAGAGGATAAAATAGAGATGGGAACGGGACTTGGCGGTTAATAGTAAATATGTCCCGTCTAGATGAAAATTGGTCTCATACCCACTCTATATCCGCGCGGGTATTTATTAAGCGGGTATCCATGAATTTTTTGAATACCCACAGATATTTATGGATATCCATGAAAATTTATAAATTTTTTAAGAAATTAAAAAAATTATATTACAAATAATTTTAAGTTTATATTTAATGTAATTGAAATATTAAAAATAAAAATTTAATATTAATTTTAAATTTATTTTTAACGTTAATTTTGTTGAAATAATAATAAAAATGCAAGATAATCAATAACTTAAAATATATCTATCTCACAAGTAAGTGAAAGTCTCGTCACAAAACTACAATAATTCAATCTCATAATTTCAAACGAAAGTAAACAACTTAAAATACATAAATCTTATAAGTCCAATCAAAGTTAGAAAATTAATAAAATTACATCCAACATAATAATTCTGTAACATGCTTAACAAATATTAGTAACTTATTCATCAACCTCACCTTTGTAAGAAAATAAGATGAGAGAGTGTAGTTTTAGGGTTATATGTGGTACAAAGATAATTAGGATATTTAAGAAACATTATTAAACGGGTACCCGCAGGTATGAATATCATCATACCCGCCCCCGCCCCATTTATAAAGCCCCCGCCCCATTTATAAACGGGTAAAAAATTATCTGTTTCCATTATCCGCAGGTACCCAATTAGCCTATCAATTTATTATCCATAACAGATTTTATCCACAGATACCCCACAAGTGCGGGTATTTTTGCCATCTGTAGGATAAAGTGTGCTTACAGTAGTCAATTAGAAAATAAACAATTGAATATCATAAAATATGGGTACATATACGACAAACTCTGAAGTTGTTACATTCTTAATTAGGGATGGCAACGGGGCGGGTCGGGTACGGGTTTCATGATACCCGTCCCTGTTCCCGCGAGTTAAACTCATCCCCGTCCCCGTACCCGTCGGATATGTGATTTTCATCTCCATCCCCGTCCTCGTCGGGTATCGAGTATACCCGTACCCGTCAATTTTTTTATTTTTTATTTTTTATAAAAAATATGATATTTTTAAATTCTATCTCATTTTATAATAAATAATCACACATAAAAAAATATTAAAATTCCTTAATATAATTAAATTGAAAGTTGATATTAAATTAAAAATGTAAACAGGGACGGGTACGAGGACGGGTACGGGGCGGGTAAGTACATACTCGTACCCGTACCCGTACCCGATTTAAAGTATCGGGTTTTACCTATCCCCGTACCCGTACCCGGTCAAACCGGGTATTCCCCGTCAAAGTCGAGACGGGTTCAGATATTACCTGCGGGTACGGGTATATTTGCCATCCCTATTCTTAATCGTTAATTTTCTAACAATGATTATAAATGCATTTTTTTGTCCAACAAGTCCCTCACTTTTTGCCAACTTAGCCAAAAGCCCTTATGATCTGTCGATGATATAGGTGCCTTATATGCGGAGGAATGATGAACAGTGGAAACATAAAGAGAAAAGGAAAAGAAACATAGATATAATTAACATGCTTTGGCCTTTGACCTTCTTCCAAGGGCAAAGAAATGATTAAAGAATTATATGTATTATGATTAAACTCTTCAACTTTCTATCCTCTTTTTAATTGTAGTCAGATTAGGATCATGAGTATATCAACAAAAACTCGTGCCACAGTCAAGTTCAATGCATCTGCATGATTTTTAATAAGACAATTAGTTTTGGTCCCTATGTCAGTTCAATACTTAATTGAATTGAAGTGATTGTACCTAAATGAGACGACCCAATAACACTAACAGAAGTCATTGGTTGGTTATCATGATAGAAATTGAAAAAATGAAATTTTTTCAAAGATATGTTGACTATAATTTCATAATTTAATACAAGGACTGTATTTACAAATAGAAGTTTCACTCAAAAGATAATAAACAAAATAATAAAGCATCCGATTAGTGCAACTGCGAGTAATTAGATTACATAAAAAATACAATATCAGCAGAATAACTTAGTACATAAGTGGTTGTAGCCATTTCTATTGATCATGATCCTCTATCTTCTTCTCTGCCTTCTGGCCATTTGTTCAACACAGCATATTCAGAAAGAGGGAACAATGCCATATCCAACTTCTGTAATTAGTGTTGTGGAGAACATCTGATCCACTTCAGCTTCTACATCAGTTCTCTTGGCGAATCGACCTTTTATACGGGGTCTAGTCTCTGCATAAGCCTTCCTTGAGGCATACCTTATAGTCTTCTCAAATTTTCTTGTCTTCTTTTTCTCCCTATACCTTAGGACTCTGGCTTCCCTGTCCATTGGAGTAAGGTGGGAAGGCATCTGAATTGAAGGTCCAGAAAATAGGTCAATTGTGCCTTTGGGTGGTCTTGAATGGCCAATTGAGACATCCATCATTGTTGATTCAGGTACAACACCAACATCCATTGATGAAACTGAAACCTGATAAAATGAAAAAGGAAGCAAATATTAGTTACTAAAAAGCAAGAGATAATAATTGTTCATGAGATCGCAAGTTCAAGATATCCTAGTAGCCCTATATATCATGTTGATGAGACCAATAATTGACATTTTTTATCACTTGAATAAAACAGGTAGAGGGAATTTCTTGACAAAGAAATAACATCTACAGAATTCAATTTGTGGGAATCCAATCATGGAGGGTATAAAATTGATTAATTTCTCACTTACAGATAAATATTCCTACATATATGTTATCACTACTCGAGATGACAAAAGGATAAGAATCTAGAGGGACAGTGAAAAAACTTGCTAGCTCCTTGGTAAAGGACACAAGGGAATATACTACAAAATAATTTTTAATGAAAGAAAGGCATATTCGACTTAGAAAATTGATCATATCTTACCTAACAATTTGAAAAGAAAAGGCAGGAATTTTCACATGTATATTGAAAGCAAGATACTTAATTTGCCCACAGATTCCTTCCTCTAAAGAAAAAAAAAAAGTGAAAAGAAAAGGGTAAAGATAGCAAAAAAGTAGCAGAAAAAAATCCCAGACACCATTTATTTCTGTACTAATTAAACCAAACATGAAACACGAGCACGCAACATGTCTAATTAATGAAACACAACCCAACACACATATTGTGTATATATACCAGGCCTGAGACAAGGTAAACAGAACATGAAGCAGAAAATAAAGTTGACACTGAACACGCCAGGAAAGGAAAACACTTGTGATTCCAACTTCGGCAAAAACAAGTCATGGGAAGTCCAAAAGTACGAAAACTACCACCTCAAAAGAAGAAACATGCCTATATATGCATATAAATATATACCCCAACCCAAGTCAAATTCAAATCAAATAAAAAACACCACTTTCCCGAGCCCAAGAGTTTGATTTAGACGAATTAGAGGTTCACATGAATGAACAAAGCAAAACCATCAATGAGAGTTGGGTCTAGTGGAAGAAAAACAACTATTTGAATCTCTTCTAGATCAAGTGTTCACATTTGGTGTCTCACAAATTCAAATGATAATAGAAAAATGAAACAAAATTGAAAAAGTTTGTTTGAATAGAGTTTAAAAGAGTTTTTGAAAAGAAAAAAAAAAACACACAAACTGAAAGTGGAAAACTGTAAGATTGAATTTGCAAGGCTTACACTTTGACTAACAGAAGCATTGAAGCCGAAGGAAGCTTTGTTGTTGTTGTTGTTGTCAAACTCCAAACTAAGCTGAAAATGATGATGCTGCTGAACCGGAACGACACTATCCCCAGCATAACTCTTGTGATGAGAAACACCATCAAAATGTTGATGCTGAGCATAATCATCGGTGGTGGTAGTAGCAGCAGTGAAGTGGTTACTATTGTCACCACAAGAGTTACAATTATCAACAAGGTCCAAATACTCATCAACTTCACCACCGTACAAGAACCCATTATTATTGTTACTGTCGTTGTTGTTAGGGACAGTGGCGCTCTTCAGAGGGTTCAGCAAGAGCCAGGAAGCTGTTTCGTCGTCGTCGTCGGCGTCGGCGTCAGCATCGTCGTCGTCGTCGTGGTGGTGGGGGGCGGCGGCGGCGGAGGAGGAGGAGGAGATGGGGAGAATGGGGACGCGGTGGTGGCGGCCGGCGAGGGGGTTGGCGGAGTGGATGTCGGCGTCGCAGGAGGAGCACAGGGAGGCGGCGTCGGCCTTGCAGAGGAACGCCGCCGGAGCTCGCTCGCACGCCTCGCACACCCACACGCGCTCGTGCCACGACGGCGAGGCGTGGAGGCGCGCGTCGCATGCGGCGCAGAGGAAGAAGGAGTGGGCGCGGCAGAAGACGGTGGAGGCGGCTGCGCGGCACGTGTCGCACGTGCGCGGCGCCCACGTGGCAGCGGGTTCTCCTCCTTCCAACATTAGGGGAGTTTAGTTAGTTTAGTTTGTGAGTATGCGAAACTGAGAAGAACAGAAGTAACTGAGTATGCAATTGCAAGTGTTGTTGTGTTTGTGTTGGCACTGACTTAGTAGTAGTGTGAATGTGAATGGTGTTTTTGGTGGCTGGGAGGGAGAATCTGTGTGTGACACGTGGCGGAAAGTTAGTGGTGTCTAAAAGTTGGGACATTATCCATCTTGTGGGTGGCTATGCATTAAGGTGGGTCCCCGTTTCGGGGAAGGTGCTTGCTACTTGCTAGTTGCTACCAGTGTTTAAAAAACCGGACCGAACCGGCCGGTCGGACCGGTTGGACCGGGAACCGGTGGTCCAGCCGGTCCGAACCTTAAGTTGGATCGGTTATGCAGTCGACCCGTTTCAAACCGGATTGAACCGGTCAATTTTCCGGTTCAACCGGTGAACCGGTGGGTCAAACCGGTTCAACCACTTTTTTTTTATTTTTTTTATTTTTTTTATTTTTTAAGGGACCATAAACCACAAAAATAATAATGAAAATTGAATCTTTTAATAGAAGAACAAAGATTCTTATTAAATATAACAATAACTACTTGTTCTAATGTATTTGTTTATATAATATACAACTTAAATAACTTTTATAGTATATTATTAATTTTATATTATATATTTAATAATATAATATATATGTAAATATTACATATATTATTTTGTGATATCAATTGCAAGCATATTATATATGTACATATTATTTATATTTTTAATTTGTATTAATATACAGTTTAATATGTAATTTTTTATATATTTTTTACAAAATAAAAATAAAAATAATTTTAAATAAGATAGAAAAATTGAAATTTAAAATAAGATATAAATTTATTAAAATTTATAAGTATAAAATATATTTAATATGAATATTTTTTTAATAAAAATAAATAAAAACCGAGTCATGCGGTTCAACTAGTGACCCACCGGTTCAACCTTTAACTCACTGACCCAGTACCTTAACCGGTCCGATTTTTAAAACTATGGTTGCTACTACTCTTTCGTTTCCTTTGTTTTTTTGTAAACTAATATGGGAATGGAACAATACTTGCTACTTGCCTTAACACACTTTTAATAATAACAAGTAATCAAAAGTTTAAGGTATCATTAAAAAATAGTACAAAATAATTGGATTTTGTACCATGCACAAGAATTACTCACGATTAACATGAAGGAGGACCTGGCTTGTTGTTTGTTTGGAAGACAATGCGAGTAGGCATGTGTCAGAGTGTGTCCTCTCTAGTACTCTATGAATTGGAGTATTGAATTTATGAAAAACATGCTATGGTCAATCTCAGCATCACGTAGCTCCTACGTCACCGAGTTTCAATAATCTTCATTAACACTTGCTAGCTACATGCACATATCTTTAACATTGAACTACATGTTTTATGTAAAAGAAACGGAAAATTAAAAAGAAATATGTTATTTTGTAAAAGTCTTGAGATACTTGTTAATCAACATTTGAATCTGTTGCCTAAAGTTCAATTTAATTAATGTGTAAGAGCCGAAATTTCGGAAATGAAAATAAGATAGCTGAAAATGTACCTCTTAAGAATTTGTTTAAAGTGGTAAGGTGGGGTGGGGATGTGTTCGATCGATTTCATCCAGAAACGAAGATCGTGAAACCATGTGCTCCTCTTTTAGGCCTTTATATTATGCGATAGCGAACTGACTTTGAGTTTGTTTTTGTTGTTTTGAATCAAAGGAAAATATGTGCATCCCAGAATCTCTGTGGTAGATAAAGATTCAGATCAGATCATATCAAGTAAAAAAGAGCATATCAGAATTAAAGGGCACAAAATCCTGCATGGGATGTGGCTTTGCTACGTATGCAACTTTTATTTTTATCTAGTAAATCAGCTAGTAGAATTTTATTATACGGATTGGGTTTAGAAAAGGATTTGAATCATAGCCTATAGCTACAGGTTTCTTTTTTTTAATATGCAAATTGGTTGACTACTTTTTGTTGACTTCCATTTTTTTGTTTTTTTAAATGATGCCCCACAAGTTAACTTTGTGTGTGCCTAACGCGACTGGTTTCACTTCGCTACTTTTATATAATTGTTTCTTGATTGCATGTGTTTTTTATATTCGATTGAGATTGTCTTCTTCTTATTATATTTGCTAAAACAGTGGTGAGGCTAGATCATTTTTAAGTCATGACCGAATTGATACGGAAACAAAAATATCTTTTGACATCCAATAAACTATACACCTAAGAAAAAAAGAGATAAAAAAAATATATAAGTGTAACGGGTATTATAATTTGATAGAAAGAAAGAGACTCGGAGAATTGATAAGTGTTTGGAGATCAGTGTGTAGGATGAGCATAGAGAATAAACACACAAAAAATAAAATTAAATTAAGTGACTTAAAAATTTTATAAGATGATCTTAAAATATTTTTATATTTATTTATTAATATTATTTTAAGTTTAATTTTTTAAAATTCTAGATGATGACATATGTAGAGTTATAAATTATTAAAAAAAATTATTTAAAATGATCAGTTTACATTGTATCAAAGATCAATGAAAAATCTGAATATGTTATTTTATTTTTCTTATAACTACTTTAATGGTAGTTTTCATAGTTTCACATTACGTAGCTATTTAGTAGCCTAACAGACTGTTTGTAAATAAAGCGTGTCCAAATATGATTATTCATAAGGATTTTTTTGTTGTTGCTTGAAATAGAGTATGCCTTTTCGGATAACATTATATAATATATTTTTTCTCTTTATTTTTCATGGCCGAGAACAAGTAGATGGTGGTGTTTGGTGGAGTTGGGAAGTTGGCAGTTGGCCAATTGATATGAAGAATCATCATAATTTCTTGTAAACAGGTAAGTTTATGTGTTAGGCAAGTTTAGAGGTATATATGTATTAATTACATAGGGTGATATATGTGATTTTTAGGTGTGTATTGCACAAATCTTCCACTAATTTAATAAACTGACTCGACTCTTAATTAATGATCAACTGATTTGTTAAATATATCTTATAACAAGATGTAATTTATTTTTAAATCATTTGATAAAGTTCAATAATATATAAAATAAATATGATAACAATCATAAATACTAAGATTTATTAACATATTAATAATATAACTGTACTATCCGTACTGCAAGACCGAACTCCCAGTTTGGCACCGCAGCGCATGATGACCTCGGAGCTCGTCACTTAACCAGATCATAACTGATCTGAGGAGATCTCGGTCCAGATGAGATCCGCCATCTAATTAGATCACAACTGATCTCAAGCCCAAGGCCCAACGCAACCCTAATTCATACTAAGGTACATGCATTACTTATACGAGACATACACTCATACAAACCCTAACTTTAGCATCGGAGTCTCTTTTGCAGGTACCACCCCCATCTTGGAACATCAAACGTATCAGCGAAGGAGGCTCACCAATCTTACTCGGAGGATCTCTACGGCAAATTTTCGGTAAGAACAATAACATTATATAGAAAATCATGAAAATAAATAAAAAGTTCACGTCTATAATATTATCTTAATATATATATATAGGAATTCCTAAACCTAAAATCAAATAATTTTTACATTCATTAAATACTCTAAAGTGAAATAATCACAAAAGAAATTTCATACCAGAACGAATTTGGATCCTCTCCTGCAATATTCTCTTTGCAGCCTCTCTCCAACAACATTAATAACCATTGAATATATCTAATGGCTCAAATTTAATCTTATAAAAATTATTTAAGAAGTTACATTAATTATAAGATTAAATCTGAACCATTAGATATATCTAATGGTTATTAATGTTGTTAGAGAGAGGCTGAAGAGAGAATATTGCAAGAGAGGATCCAAATTCTACCGAAACAAGGTCAAATCACTGAAATGTAGCAAAGATTAATTAAGTATGACCAAGTGGTCGAAAATGTTGATATAATGTGTAGTAAATTTCAATGACAAAAAGGGATTAAAGCAGAACCTACGTACGGAAATATTTTGTAACCGTTAGATGTTGTGGAGCATACAGTGTGAGGCACCTATGTAAACATCAAGAAATGTGGTGGGACAAGAATAGTTACTGAAAATGTAGCTGCATCCTCAAAGGCAAAGTTACGTTCAAGAATGGGGGAAGACAAATTGGTATATTGAGACAGAAGTCTAGTGCGGGTTGTGACTTATGACACACTACTAATGAATTTATCTCTTGAAGCTTCGCCCGGCTAACATGCCAATAAGCAACCGAGATGTGACATGATAACCAATAACATCCATCTTAGGAACATTCAATGGGAGAATATAATTTTAAAGCTCTGTTCACGACCAACTAATATTAATATATATTATTTAAGAATTATAATGATGACAAAACCATTTTAATTAAGAATTATGTACATATTATTCCAATGTACATTTACCTAATCATTTTTGTGTCTAAATGACATGGTTGAAGGTTACTCCATGAATGAATTTGTATCATCATCTTAATTTTGCTAAATATTTATTGATTTTATCGATCATTAATATTTAAAAATTTTATTGGTTGTTATTGTTGTATATAAGTAAATATTTTAAAAGAATAAAATCTTAAATTATTTGAAACTAGTAAAATAGTATATCTTACACTTTAAAAGAATCAAATAAAAAGTGATAGATATGTTTATAAGAATGGATTTTGTGGATTACATGTGTATTTGATTAAAGCCAATGTCATTATATGTCTTGAACAATTTTTGTCCATGTCTGAAAGATACACTAGTAATCTTCTCGTACTTTGAAGGCCGAATGAGAGCTCCAAGCAAATATCCTGATGAAGGGGAGGGTACCTGCAAAAGGTACTTCGACGCTCAAGTTATGACAAACACAAATATCGATAGTAATTAATGAACCGTGACATTACCTCGAGATGTGAACTATTTATAGTGAAATTAATGGGCCCTGCCCTCCATGAGCCCTGTACTAGGGTTACCTAATTAAGTAATACGTCCTTAATTGGCTTATACGCATGATTAACCTTTAATCACTGCTTGTGGATTATTACTGGTTCCATGAATTACTCCGCTTGAGGCCTTTCGGCCATCGATCGG